GCTTGAATTTCTGAATATTCCCTGTCAATATACTACTGTAACTGTTATTGAATTATCTTCAACAAAATTTTATTTGATGTGGTATTAATGGTATTGTTTGATAATTTACGCATTCTATTTGATCACCTTTCTTTGGAAGGGACACAAATATGGATCTCTTCTAGTCAGTTGGCCAGGTAGCTATCTTCCACATTTCTTGGCATAAATGAATGAGTACATCCAGTATTGCATTCATTTGTTGAAATATCTTAATGGGTATTCTGTCTATTCTTGGAGCCTTCTTTTTTACCGGTTCCTTCAGTACAGCTTGGATTTCTTCCTTCAGTACCATTGGTTCTTGATCATATGCTATTTCCTGAAATAGTTGAACATCAACCAATTCTTTTTGGTACAATGACTCTGTGTATTCCTTCCATTTTATTTTGATGATTCCTATATCATTCAATATTTTGTCCATAAAATCCTTCAATATTGCAACTTGAGGCTTGAATTTTTTTCTTCAGTTCTTTAAGCTTAAGAAATGTTAAGCTCTTTTGATTTTCTAACTCCAGGTATTTGCATATTCATTACAATACTTGACCTTTTCTCTCAAACTGTCTGTTGAAATCTTCTGTTTGGCTCTTTTATGTTATCATTTCTTCCATTTGCTTTAGCTACTCTCCATTCAAGAGCATGTTTCAGAGTTTCTTCTGACATCCATTTTTGTCTTTTCTTCCTTTCCTTCCTTTTTAATGACCTTTTGCTTTCTTCATGTGTAATGTCCTTGATGTCATCCTAAAACTCACCTTGTCTTTAGTCATTGGTGTTCAATGCATCAAATCTTTTCTTCAGATGGTGTCTTCATTTAGGTGGGATATACTCAAGGTCTTATTTTGGCTCTTGTGGACTCTTTTTTTATTTTCTTCAGCTTTAACTTCAACATGCTTATAAGTAAGTGATGGTCTGTTCCACACTTGGCCCCTGGCTTTCTTCTGACTGATGATATTGAGCTTATTCATCATTTCTTTCTACAGATGTATTTGATTTGATTCCTGTATATTCCATCTGGTGAGGTCCATATATATAGTCACCGTTTATGTTGTTGAAAAAGGTATTTGCAATGAATAAGTCATTGGTCTTGCAAAATTCCATCATATGATCTCTGGTGTCATGTCTGTTTCCAAGGCCATATTTTCCAACTATTGATAATTCTTCATTTCCAACTTTCATATTCCAATCACTGGTAATTATCAATATATCTTGATTGTATGCTTGGTCAGTTTCAGACTGCAGAAGTTCATTTAAAAAAATCTTCAATTTCTTCATATTTAGCTTGTGTGGTTGGTGTGTAAATTTGGATAATAGCATTATTACTACTATTAGTAGTAGTAGTATTACTATTGGTATTATTACTACTAAGAATAACAGTAGTAACAATACTACTATTGATACACTTGAAATGCATCTTTCTTGTAAGCATATGGATATGATCCTGTGACTGACAGCATTGTACTTCAGGATAGATCTTGAAATACTCATTTTGATGATGAATACATTGCTGTTCCTCATCAATTTATCATTCCCAGCATAGTGGACCATATGATTGTCCAACACAAAATGGCCAATACCAATTCATTTCAGCTCACTGATATCTGGCCTATTGATCTTTATTAATTCCATTTCATTTTTCACAACTTTCAATTTTCCTAGATTCATATTTCATGCATTCCACATTTCAATTATTAATGGATGTTTGCTGCTGCTTCTTCTCATTTTGAATCATGTCTCATCAGCAAATAAAGGTCCAGAAAACTTTATTCCATCTACTTCATTAAGGAGGCAGCTCTTCCCTAGTCATATTTTTAGTACCTTCTAATCTGGGGTCTCATCTTTTGGCATTCTATCAGACAATGTTTTCCTGCTATTCATAAGGTTCTCTGTGGACATTTTCAGAAATTGACCTGGCCATGTCCTTCTTCCTAGTCTATCTTAGTCTGGAAGCTCTGCTGCAATCTGTCCACTATTGGTGACTGTGCTGATATTTGAAATACCAGTGGTGTAGATTCCAACATCACAGCAACATGCAACCCACCACAGTACAACAAACTGGCATATGAATGGTGGTCCCTGGTGTTATTTTTCACCTTATAGGCTTGTCTGTTGTTTGGCTGAAAGTTGAGCCATAGGGGTGAGTTCAGTTCAAGGATGTTTAAATGTCACAGTCTCGAGGGTTCTACCACTCTTTTTCATACCTCTAAGCCTGATCTTTTTTATGATTTTGAGTTAGGTTTTACATTTTTCTCCCACTTTGTCTGAGGCCTTATATTGTGATCCCTTTCAGAGCTGTCAGCAGTAGTAGCCAGACACTTTCTAGGTTTTCTGGTGACATGGTTGTGGAGACTGGGGTTCACATGGTCCATTAGTTCTTTGGAGTAATTAATTATTTCCTTGAGTCTTTGATTTTCTTCACTCTTCCTTGCTCTGGAGAAGAAGAGACCAATAGTTACACCTTAGATGGCAACCCAAAACCCTTTAAGACCCTAGTTATTCTCATCAAACTTGGATATAGAATATTGACTATGTTATACCACAATTTTTAAAAAATAAGAGAGTTAGGAAGGAAAGTTCATTTTCTAAATATGTTCATTTTTTAAGTTATCAAAAAAAAGTCCTAATAAAAAGAAGGGATTTCAGTTACCGTAAAAAATAATACATAAATGTAATATATATTTGCTGTAAACAATTAAAACCATAAGGAAGTACATAGAGGAAAATATGTAACTCCCCTTGTTGTCCTCGCGCTCTTCCCCAGAAGGAACTCACTCAGCAGTTCATTGTATATTCATTGCTGTCTCTTCTCCCTTGTATGTTACATGAAATGAGATAATACTGTTTATATCTGCTGTTCTGAAGTTGTTTTTCTGAATAGAGGAAGTTTTAGCAATAAGAATGAAGGTGGCATTTACAGTCATCATTATCTCATTTTTAATATCTCATTTATTAAATTCGTCTAAATTTCCTCATCACTTTTCTTCACATTCCTAGTAAACAGTAGCCAACTCACTTATCCAAAGTGGCTGTGGGTAAGTGCCCTGGGTAACTCTAGATCATCCTTTGAAGCACAAGACCCATACCCTCTCACTAAGAATTCTAGCTCACAATGCCAGGAATGTACTCCTTCTTAGAGGAGTGTGGGGCCCCACTATGATGGTGGGAGGCCAGGGGACCTGTGTGAGTGTGTGTGTTGTGGAGAAAGCTTTCTAGTCTGGCTCACATCCCAGTTACCCTGATAATGAACACAGCTGCAGTCTCTCCCCAGCCCCGTCAGCCTGAGAGCAGCCTTTGCCGAAGCAGGGGGATCATGAAGCCCAAGAGCAGTGCTGTGGGAACTCTGTTCCTTGCTTCCTTACAGCTCACATATCTGAGCCGGGGTGAATAACCCAGAGAGGAGATTTCTTCAATATAAATGCTACATTCCAGCACTTTGTCCCTTCCTACTGCCATGTTCTCTGGTCCATATATTACAGAGTTAACAAGTGTCTGATAAGAATGCCAATAATAATTAATATTTGTGGAGCAGTCTGTGGGTCAATAAATTCTTTTGCACAATTTTACTTAATTCCCCTAACAACTTGACAAGGTCACATTATTATCTCAATTTACAAAATTTGAAATTAAAGCTAAGAAATGTCCAATGATGCTGCAATAATAATTCTGGACCAACTCTCAAGAGGGACACTAAGAAGAAAAAAACAGTTGGGCCCCTTCTGTAGTCTATAGGATACCTCAAGGATTCAGAAAAGTGAGTCCACAGTGATTAATGCAGAACTATCATAAGGTTTCTAAATATACCACAGAGGACAGCAGAAAACACAGGTTGAACTAATTAAAATATGTGCCCTCCACATGTTAAAGTCAAAATTCTCAGCTCACTGGATTTAAAAACAGAATGGAGGAAAGTTGATACAGAAGCTGTTGGCATGTCTCACAAGTGAAGCAAGAGAATGGAAAACCCAAAGCCACTAATTATAATCCATATTTGAGATTAGACTCCATTTTGAAGGTTCTTTTGGACTTTGACATTCATAATTATACGGCTATGGGTTAAAGTCTACAGAGAGTATGATTCTTTAGTCCAAAAGTAAAGCCATGTTCTGCTTTGGGCTACTAAGCTTTTTTTTTTTTTTTTTTTTTTTTTTAAGTGCTTAATGAATATATCAGTTAGAATCTTTGGAACCACAAGATAGAAAACTCAGCTGGAAATGTGTAAAACAATAAAAAATGTATTATCTCATGTAACAAAAGGTAGGGAGAAGTTTTAGGGTTTGCTAGTTCAGTGGCTTAAAAACCCAGAGTCTTTATTGTTTCCTCTCTGCCATCTTGACTTACCTCTCTGTACCTTAACAACAACAATGACCAAAAAAAAAAAAAACCAAACCAGTTGCCATGGAATTGATCCTAACTCATAGTGACCATATAGGACAGAATAGAACTACCCTGTAGGATTCCAAAGCTATAAACCTTTATGGGAGTCACATCTTTTGCCCAAGGACTAGCTGGTGGGTTCAAATGGCCAACCTTTTAGCAGTGAAGCATTCAACCATTGTACCACCTGGGCTCCTCAATGGTTGTAAAATAGATGTAACAGCTCTGGGAATTCCATCCTCAGCCACCCTTTCAAGCCAAAATATCCATAGTTTGAAAGATGAGTCCCTTCAAAAAAGGGAGAAAAACTTTTTCAGAAGCCGTCAACAAACTTTCATGCCTCACTGGCTAGATTTATGCCAAATGTCCATTCCTAAACCAGTTACTGGTGAAAAAGAATGAAATGACCACAGCTGCTTTAGACTAATCAAGATTTGTCCCTGGGTAAGAGAAGACTCTGGTTCCCTAAAACCTATCTTCTATTGATAACCTGAACAAAAAAAGGTTTCATTAACAAGGAAGAATGGACTCGGGAGGGCAACCAGCAGTGTCTCTACAACAGGAAGGCTGCTTAGTTTTACTGTTTCTCCTTACAGGATCTGCCAATATAAATGACCGAAGCATGCTGGGAAAGCGTGACAGTGAAATGGCTGTCATTGTGCAGGACACGGAGACAGTCCCTTCAGTAATGGATGGAGAAGAGTACCAAGCTGGCCGGTTCGCCCAAGGACTCCGGCGACAGTGCTTTAGGTCAGCCCTACAAAGTTGTCTCTTACACAGTTGCACACAGTAGACAGGGGACCCCAACCCCAAACTCTTGCTCTTTGTACACATTTCATTTCCAGTTTCTTCTTTGTCTGAAACAGCATTTCCCAGAATAAAGTATGTGTACCACCAGTAGTATGTGAAATTACTTTTTGTGGTACACAAACTTTTTTTTAATAGTTTTTATTATTTTAATGTGTAATAGGAAAAGCTGGCATTTTAAATCCATTAATTGATTTAGGACCAGATCAGGTCAAACCATCTAATATCTTTTTAAGTTTTTTAAAATGAATTTGTTTTTAAAAATTAAAATTGTTCCAGGAATACAAAGATATGATAAAATGCATTAAGGGTGCATTCCAGTGGCTACTGGTATAAAATCTGTGTGTGGGAACTCCGTTTTTCAGGTTTAAAGGGACTCCAAACATGAAAGATGCTGATCTTTTGCAAGAAGACATGAGTTTTAAATAAATCTGTGTTCAAGTGTAAGGAACATTGGTCTAGGAAGCAAGAGCCGTGTTACGTTTAATGAGTCCTTCATTCAGTAAAGCTTCATTGACAACGGCTGGGCACTAACCACCTACTCCTGCACCCACAAGCCCCTATAGTCTATTCTCCACACCACTGATTCTTCTAGACCTAACTCAGATCATGCATGTCATTCCTCTGCTTACTATACTCCAGTAGCTTCTTATCTCACCTACAGTAAATCCTTGTCACCAACACCAACATAATGTCATCTCCTCTCACTCTTTCCCTCACTCACCACAGACACAGCATCTAAAGAACATCCTAACCACTCACTTGCCTTTCAATAAGTCTACCATTATATGATTCCAGAATTATATCTGCCATGTTGTGATTTCAGTGTGGCCTCTACAGTGAGACTAAGCCAGTCTCTTACATAGGTTTTAAGGGTGGTGCTTTAATCTGTTTGGGAAAAGGCACTACACAAAAAAATCCTCCCAGCTCTGTAATCCTTCATATGTTAATGCCCAAGTTTAGAAATTGGCTCATTTGCAGAGAAAAGAATAATGGGCACTTCACTCTCTGCAAAGGCAGGCAGCCATCTTCCTGGGGACTTCAGAGAACCAAGATAAGCTTCCCATTCAGAGACAGTTCTTTCTGCTCTCTGCTCAAGAAGCTCTGCAAAGCTAGCCCTCAGGATCTGTCAATATCTTCTAACAACTTTTGTTACTGTGTTTACTGCCCTAGCCCATTCTGTTTTGCCAGTAAGAACGTTTTCAAACCACTGATATTTCAGTTAATTTTTAGTGTTAATCAACCCATTGATTGCCTACCAAAAAAAAAAAAAA